CTCTCTACTCAAAAAGAGGCCATTCCCATGAGATCTAAAAGCAGGAAAGGAGCCAAGAGACCCACTTGGCTCAACAGAGATATAAGAGTACTTTTGAAAAATAAAAAAGACACATATAGGCAATGGAAAAAAAGATCAGCATCCAAAGAGGTAGTCTAGTGCACCAAACACACTGCGCCACCTAGCTACTGAAATGTATGAAGCATCTGGGTAGTCTGGAAGGTCTCACGAGCTTGCAATCCAAGTGAACTGTGCTTGTTCCAACTTTATATTGCAGTTCGTAAAGGAAACAAGCTCCTGCAAAAATGTGAAATTAAGTTTTATGGCATTACTAAAGCAGCTTTTCATTGCAAGTTTAAAAATGTGTATACTAAAAATGCCTCTACTATCACAGCAAAGTAAGAGCCACACTTGATGCGTATAGATTTAGGGATGGAAGACAGAAAGTAATAAAGACTGAATAGACAAAATAGGAGTTTGGGAGGAACAAAGTAATTTAAATGAGCAATGACTGTAAACTTAAACTCGGTATTTAATAGGGATGGGGCAGATTGTTTCAGTGAAAGAAAGACCACAGAGGGAGAAACGCAAAGAGCCACTAAAGGAACAAATTCAGTTTGTTTTTTAAGCAAGACACTACTCAGTAATTAGATTTATTTTCTCAACTTCCTATTCAATTTTAATTTTGATAGGTGAAAACTATAACTGTTGTCCAAAATGTTAGGAAAGGGATTTATCTAGTCCCACAAAAAGGGACTCCTTTTGCATTCTGAAGGGAAAAGCAAGAGTATTAAACCTAGGGACTATGTCCTGAGCTGCCAATGCAGTGAGGATATTTCCAATTTTATTGACTATAAAGTCAGCAAGTCCAAAACAGACCTTGAGAACAACTACTATTTCTACAAGCAGTCAAATGAATAACTAAAACTTAGTGTGCTTTATATTTTCTTTCCTACCATTTTCCACAGTGTGTGCCATCTGAGATTTTAGCAAGGAGAAAACAGCAATCAGTCATGTTTGGGTATAACTGAGATTAGACTATTACAGCCTGCATACTAGTGTCTGCTGATAAAGGTCATTCTTCTGTTTCTTAATCCCAGGTCAGTGCATCTTTTGTGATCAGCTCGCCTTTTGTGAAGTTTGTTTTACAAGCTTGAAATGTATGCAGTAATTGGGTAGGCATGTATTCAGATGCCAGTCAGCCTGAAACTGTAGGACAAGTTACCCTAATAGCAGGTAAGTTTACAGTACAGTACAGTACAGTACAGGACATTAATGGTTTTTTAAAGTGTACATTTACTAAATTATTGCCCAGTGCTTCAGAAGGCAGCATTACCAACACACTGAAGCCAGCAATGGCACGGGACTGTGTGTCAACATCTTGGAATGTACTAAAATTTGTTGGTCTGAACATTAAGAGGAGCCACATTCAGGGTGGAACACAGAATTAGGAAGCAACAAAAAGATCCATCCCTCTGTCCAACTCTTTCTGGACAAGTTTCACTATACCCCAGGAGTAATCTGACAAAGCACGAGTTAAGCCAAAACAGAATCATCATAAATAGCTAGCAGGCTGGAACTACCATGAACAGCTATGCTTCTTGAATGAACTGTAAGTGGTGCTGATTTCCTGAAATACAACCATTTGGTTTATTTTTATTCTAATAAAAGTGCTCTCTCCCTGCATCAGCACACTGCCTACAGTTCCAAGTGTCACTACATTTTTATTAAGTGACAAATCCCTTCCCCACCCATATACCCTACATCTCCTTCATTGCTCCTGCTCTGCATTTCTTGTGAGGGTAGATCAGGCAAATCCCAAGGGACAGTTACTATTTTTTGTGTGTGTTTGTTTTTGCAAAGCTCCATCACAGATGGAATTCTTTTTGCTGGTCTTTTCTTAGAACCAATCCTTTAGTAGGAAAAAAACCCAAAAATGAGAGCAGTGAAAATAATCCCACGTGACAGAGAAGAAGGAAAGAAGAATCAACAAACAAGAAGGATCAGTTTTCCACTGGGGCTGGGTTTGCTAAGGGCTGGCTCACAATGACTTGCACCACGTAGTCCTTCGGTATTTTCAGCTCCTCCAGTTTCATTTTGTCTGCAAGCGGCCTGCCTGAAAAGAACCAGCGCTGGCTGCTGGGCTCCACTCCCTCCGCTGTATGTAGCCGCCTCTTCATGTGATACACCGTGTCCATACTGCGGACCATAAGTTTGAGGTCTTTGCCTGTGGAAAGACGTAAGCGAAGCTGGCATTCATGCCCAGAGTTGGGTGGTGGATCAGGAATATCTAGAGTCTCTAGGTCTCCTTTCTCCTCTATCATGTTGATGGGTGGGGCCAGGCAGTAGACTGGAAGTTGGTATCTGTTGCCCAGTTCATCATAGCACTCTGTAAGAGCACCTTTGGGAGAAAGAGGAAAAACACTAGTATAAATGCCTATTATATTTAAAACCAAACCACCAGAAACCTCTGAAACTCTTGTGTTCATGTAAAGGCACGGCTTAATGCCATGTAGGCTCAGCAGCCCCTTGATTTGCGGGATATAAAGTTATATAAAAAGCTTGGGGTTTGTTTAAAAAAAACACAACAAAGAAACTATGTTTCTTCCTTTTTCATCAGGGAAAGTTGGTAAAAACTGAAAGAAAAAAGAAGTAAGCTTAATTACTTCAGTGGTGGTGTAAGAACTTAGAGAGATGTTATTCTCTCATACACTTCATACAAAACGAGTCCCTTAAATTGAAATGCAACTCACAGATTCAGCTCACTAACTCATCCCAAAGTATTTGGGGCATTTTGTGAGTTTGATAAATTACAAACCTGAGCCAGTTACATCAGGTTGTGGGTGAGCCAGGAAAAAAGGCACAGAGAAAAGGGAAAAGAAAACTTGTTGCAGAGGCCCCCCACCCAGCAAAAATGCTGAAGTTAGCTCAAAAGATTCTCACTGCTAATGGGAGACTTAATCACCCATTTAGACAGTTCTGCCAATCCATGTAGAAGAGAGCTGAGTTATCATCACATAAAGGTACGAAAGGTAAACAGGAGTTTACAGATACAATTAAAAATCAGAAAAAGTTTTGAATCTATAGTATGCTACCATATATCTCAAACTTCACGTTTGAATCTCATTTATACCACATTCTGGTCCACCGTAACGACAAAAACACTTAGCAGTGAATGTAAAGTTATCCATTTTTTAGCCTCAGATAGAGGAGCTTTGTCATTACTCATGTTTCAGATAATGATCAGATGAAGACTCAGGAGTTTTACAAAACTTTCAATAGGAGTCACAGCTTGTAAACACTACAAAATAATTCTCACCACAGAAGTCCCAAGGATTGCACTGAGAAAACAGCAGCAGCACTTTATCTTTAGTACTGCAGTTTAAGATTTAAGTAACTTACAGCCTAAAATTCAAGCCTGGCTACTTATGTCACAAACCACATTCATACCATTAATCAGGAAAATGAAATTTGGAAGAAATGACAGTCTTTGATTCCATAAACTGGAATAGAAATCACTTCTCAGTGGAGGTAGAAAGGATGCATTTGCATGCCAAGGAAATGCTGCTACTTTGTCTTGGATTTACCTGTTTTAATGAATTTTCACATTCTTGCCCCTAGATGGGGCACATTCACTTGCAAGATTATCCATCCTTTTGTAGTTACAAATGTTTGAAGATGAGCCAAGTCCTTGAGCTACAGAATATTTAAAAAATGCTTTGACTCTGCAGTTCTGCACACACTACCCCAACTGTTCCTCATTAGAAATTAAGGCCTTTTCTGGTTGGAGGCTTTTTTTCATGCTGACAGCAAGTTGCCTTAAACTTTGCTGTTTGATCAGCAAAAATTACTGCAATATGAAATTATAACTTGGGGACATACCATATAGCTTATTTCATTCTGACAGTTGCATCTGATGCCACAAAGCTACTTTCTTTGAAACAGAAGTGTACATGTTTCCTTTTAAAAAAAATCAATTTTTAAAGACTCTTTTTTATCTCCTTCCTCACCTACATAAATTAAACATACAGAAATTGTTTGGTTAAAATACAACTGCCTCAGGAGCAGCCGTGTTTCAGGAATCTCTTATCCATTTTTCCGACTTGCACTGAATTTGTTTCACTGTGGGTTCCCTAAATAATCCAGAAGAATAAGCTTTGCAGCAAAATAAGCCTTTCAAAGAAAGCAAACCCTGTTACAGTAGATTCAAAACTTGGTAGGAACAACAGTGAAAACGGAGTATTTTAGTTATATGAAACATCACTGAGAACAAACACCCAGGTGAATGTTTGTCCCAACCTTGCCTGCTCACATTTAATATAAAGTCCTTTTCTGAGAGCTGTATAGAGGACAGTTCCACTACATGAAAGGAGGAAGATCAAAGGCTGCACCATCCATATCAGTTTGTGCTTCTTATGAATTTCACACTAAACCAACCTTGACTAATTAATACTCTATCTATAGCTCACCAGGAACTTGGAATATGACAGGAGAAGATTTCTGGAGTTCCTCATCTCAAAGCATTTTTATGGTATAACTGTTTACATTTAACACCTAATTCATATAGCCAATGTGAATCCAATGCTGCAAATTTAATTTCTGGTTTGAGTGCTTGGCTGAACAAAACCAACAGGATGGGAATACATATTGGCGAGAGATTACTCTTGATATACCTAGTTTAGCGCTCGCCCCCTAAAGCAATGATTCTCAACCGGGGCTTTGTGGCACCTTGGTTGAGAATACCCAAGATCCTTTCAAGAGTGCCATGGATGCCACACAATGTTTGTAATGTTAGGTGCAAAAACATGATTCACAAGATAAACCCAGAGGTTTAAAATAGGAATCTATAGTGTTTAAAAAAAAAAAAAAAAGTCTAACCTGTTGTGGGGTCTTTCTGGGTTTCTGCGACAGAAGACTTGCTGTCTTATCTTTTCTGTAGTCAAAGAGTGAGTGAAAACTAGGAGCTGGGATTTTCTGAGGGGTGCCTTGAGTTTGAAAAAGGTTGAGAACCACTGATCTAAAGCATCCACTCCTACCATTGTTGGAGACATGATAGAGGGCTAGATGGACCATTGGTCTGACCCAGTATGGTACTTTCTATGTTCTAGTCCCAAGATATCTAAACAATATAGCATCTATTGAAATATAAATTTTAAATGCATTTGCTTTATAAGAAAGCTATTTTTTGGGCTGTGGCAGAGCCAAGCCATCAAAAGGTTAACACAAAAATATTATGTTTTAATATTAACTAATATTAATAATATTAGTTAAGACAGGCTTACTAAGAGATTTCTTCATCTTCCATATCCTTACCTGTTTGAACAAACACCAAGGTCAAGGCCTATGCTATAAACACCAGCCTGCTTAATCATAATCAGATAAGCAAACTGAAAAAACAGCAGCTAAGTTGGAACACTTTTCTTGGTATGTGCATTCCATTGTTTAAAGATTTGGGATTGGGGTAATCTAAAGTTACTCTCTTGCCATTGAAAACTACACAGCCTAACAGGAGACTAGGAAAGACTTGTGCTATAAATAATGATTCTGAACCTTGCATTGGTAATGTCCATTCTTCCTTCCCTACTGAAAAATATTTTTAAGACTTTTGATCATCTTCAAACCATTTGTACATGGCCTCAGGACAGGAGAATTCAACAAAGGTATGGAACAAATTGCACCAATAGGTAGGTAGAACAAGTAAAATGAGAGTATCCTGATATAGAGCTGGTTGCCAATGGAGAGAGGTTTATGTTACCTGGGAGACAGTGTTACACATCTAACATGATTCTTCACTGGATGAGTTCCAAAAAAAGTGCCTGACATTATGTAGATCAAAGAAAGAGAGGGGTCCCTTTCTTAAAGACCTAGTAGCCACTTCAGAGAAGAACAGAACTATGAAAATATAACTCAACCAACATCTTGCTCTAGTCCCTTGTAGCTGGTAATTCATAGAGGTTTATGAATCTTCTGCAGTCTCTAGATTAAGAAACCCAGGATCTTTAACTAAGGCAAAGGTTTACATTTTAGCTACGAAAGTGCAGGGCAGCAGACTTGCAGGCAACTTATTTCAGGGTCCTGCATAGAACTGCTTATATACTAGAGGCCTGCAGTGAGTGTCACATATTGATAACTTTAAAAGTGATGTAGGCTGAATTCACAATTAGAACCAGGCAAACTCAGAGTGATTTATAGAAATGCAGTGAAATTCATATTAGTTGAAACAATGTTTGTCAAGTATTCACTAGCCTGTCTCACTAGTGGATGAATGTTCTGTATTCAGACACCTGCAGCAGTATTATACATATTGCAAAGAGGAGTGTTTTAACTATATAATTTCATTATTATACTGTACATATTTTTGTCCATCATATGGCACTGTTTTCGTGAAAGCTGTGAATAATCTACAACTACTCAAAACTTTTGTTTTTGCAGTAACAGTTGAAAACCTTCTGTTTTGATCTTTTCTGCGTGACACCCAAGCTTATGTTTAGGTCAAAGTTATCCAGTAAGAAGTGTCATTAATAGAAATGTAAGATCTTAACAAATATGATGAAAAGAAGAAAATTCACTTTATAGCTTCCTCTATCACCTGGGCAACAAGGAGCCTAACAAACTAGTTAACGGGATCCCATGTGGATATGTTAAGGACATGGACTCTCAAACTTGTGACATACAGCAGCACAAACAAACTTCAAAGTTAAGATGGCTCCATCCTCTGCTTCTTCTATTATTAATGTTATTTATTGAATGCTGACAGTGTGCTCAAAGCTGTAATTCAGAGGGAGATGCTTCCTGTCCAATAGGCTTCCAGACTCATTTAAACAGACCAAACAATATACCTGGGAAGACACAGAGAGAACAGGTAACCACATGAAGGTCTAATTTCAGACTCTTCCTGGGAGGACTATGATATTCCAGCAAAAATGGCAAAGAAACAGTACATAAATCCAGGAATCACAATATCTACCTAGAATGTTACCTTATAAATCTGAATTCTCCTTTTAGTTTGGTAAAATTACTGTTGTAAAGATATCACATTTCAGGAGAGGGGAAAGAAGGAGAGAACACTATTTAAAGCAGTTACTAGCATCCAGATGTGAACCAGCATTTCAGCTTTAATAGGCTTCTGGACTGTCTGGTAAGCTAAGTACAGTGTACACAGCCAAATACTTAAGAGGCTGGGAAGGCAGAATAAATGGCAACAATGGGAAGAAAGGGGAGGCTGATGCTACATAAGAGCACTTCGAAAGGTGGCCAGGTATAATTATATCACTTCCTCAAGAAACTATAAATTACCACCACTGTAAGCAGGATGCCCTGAGCATGACATTAAACTACATCCTCTGCTGCCCTGTGGACACTTCTTGGTTGAAGAAAGGCTAAGGGACTTCACCCTGACAA